TACAAACGAAAAAAAGTTAATTACAATTTTCAGCTCGTTATAATATATTCATTTAAAATAACTACAGTATTACTTATTTGCTTATTTTTGTGAATTAAACAAAAGCAATGGCAATAATGTTATAAATGGTTTTACTATACCATTAAAACAATACAATTTTGATTGAGTCGATAGAAAGAAAGAGGTTTTTATGATATTGTCTCCGACTTCTCGGATATAATACAAGAGTTTTTATATTATAAAAAGAGGACATTATGTTTGAGTAGGAGATAAAGCGCTGAACAAATACTTTTGTCCTTTGATTTTATTGACTGATCCGATCAAAAGGCTATGATTTTGATTGTCAGTCAGATATACATTGGAGGAGACCATAGGCTGTGGACAGCAAAACAACAACTTATATGAATCCAATGAAACTAATATTTTCACTTCAATACACTTGTGCTTCAATAGAGAAATGTTTTTCATTTATGGATAATTGAATGGTTTTTGTTGTCGACTGTTAGCCACTATTGTAATTCACTCCAATATGAATCCAATGAAACTAATATTTTCACTTCAATACACTTGTGCTTCAATAGAGAAATGTTTTTCATTTATGGATAATTGAATGGTTTTTGTTGTCGACTGTTAGCCACTATTGTAATTCACTCCCCTATTAGAGCTACCATTAGATTCATTAAGTTATAGTGTATTACTTTTAATTATTGTATAATATACTTATTGTCTGATGCATTACATTAAAAGTTTCACTCAACCATTTCCTATACTAATTTTTAAAGTTACTTTAATCTGATTAGTAATTACTATAGAATTGTTTGCATTTTAAACTAATTAATTGCTTATTTTCTCAGCAATTGACTATTTTGTTGTCACAATATCCGATTATTTGCTAAACTTTAAAGTTTTAAGAAATACAAATATACTTTTAGTATATAAAAAATATTACGTTTAAATTGTATGTGAATTTTTACTATTTATTATTCATTATGTCTTTTAGAAAAAGTTAATAAAATAAAAACTAAACTTAATGACATCAATATGAAAAACCTAACCAATACATTTGATTCCCGTCATTAATAATCTATGAAAATTCAAAACACTTTGAAAACCTACTTTAATACAATTATGAAAATAATTTAAATATGTCTAAACACTAGCATTGATTGTTGAGCTACTAATTCATTTGTAGGGTATAATGAATACGATATGAAAGTAATGGCACTCAATGCAGATGCATATTATGCTGTGCTTTAGCGGAGTATTCATACAAATCAATAGTAATTTTATTGATTGACAAAAAAGTGTTTATTTGATGAATGATTGGATCGATTGTATTGAAAGAGAGATGAAAGTGGCGATCGTTTATCTCTTGGCACTGCTATTAATAAATGGTTAAGTTTTATACAGAAAATTTCTCCATTCAAACAGAATATATCAAATGCTGTCACAGCATACCAGTGCCCTGTTTTCACTCATCTCACATCCCAGTTATCTCTTGTGTTTGTGTTCAATCAAATCCTTTGGAAATTAGGTTCATATGAATTGGATTTTAAAATATCTATATTTAGATTGTTTGGAGAAATTATATTTCTCTAACATATTATTATAGTTTAATTTTCATAATAAATATTTATTAAATATAACCCAGAATCAATAATATTTACTCCAGTGCATGATTCAAATGTGTTTATTACAGTATATCATAATAATTTTATTTAAACAATTCAATAGTAATGTTATATAATACAGCACATGGGATAATAGTTTAATAAACCTTACGTTTAAATCACTAAAACATGATTCTTATTATTGTTTGTAATTCTTTGATTTTTTATTTCAAAAAACAATTTTCACAAAATGATATAAACATTAAGAATTTGAACAATAATTATTAAACAAATTATTTGTGAAAATGGTTTGCTTTCCGTAACAATTTATATACAAATAGCTAATTATTTAATTACAACATGTTTATTTTGTATTATTCAAAAATAATTAAACGTTTTCTTAGAAAGTTTGCTTTAAAATGATAAACGGACTTAAATAGTGGTATAAAATGTGATAAAACGATAACAAATATATATAATGTTTGGCTCGTGTCTAATGGCTAAGTGGATGATAATGGGTCTCAAGATTTCATATGTATTTCTCTTTCACGTCGTCCTTCTCGTCCTGACTTTCCTCAGCCGAGGGTGACGTCCACTCGCCGTTTGTGGTCGACGTGGTCTTCATATCACCGGATGAGGGCTCCGGTATGACTATCATAGGCGCGCAGTGGTGGGCACTGACCATAGCCGTGGCCCCTATAATGGCCGAACAGGTGGGCCGTGCGAACCGCAGTACCCCTGATGTGGAGTTACTTTGCTGGGTGTTTGTGGCCCCGGGAGCGTGTCTCACGTTTTTATAACTTTGAAACAAACATATGTATAGTTTTGGGACAAATAGACAGCCGAGTGCTACCGTCGCGCTGATCGATATACACATACAGAGACTGGCGATTTGGATCTGTATTTAAGAGATACATATAAATGATAATTAATTTTTTATTGTAAATATTTGCGTTATTGTGATTCACAATAGAGTTTATTTCCACCGGAATATATCTACTGAACGCACATTCATTAAATCATTGAAAAGGTTTATACACGAAAAATGGGTCGACTTTTGTATTCGCGAGTATATTATCAATAATAACATCGTTTGAAATGTATTTTACGACAATCTTAGGTTTTATTTCCTATCATAATAATAACTGATAAGTTTAATAATCATTGAATTCTCATATAATTTATGTGTTATTATAGCCATAGAAAAAGGAGTTGTAGAGAAAAATGAGAGAAAACTTTCGATGAATTCAATGCAATTAAATATATTAGAGAGAGAACTACAAAATGTGTCATCTATTTGTATAATACGGTATATGAATGAATGAATGAATAAATGAATGTAAAAATAATAACGATAATCATTAGCATAGATAATACAAGTAAGGCATCAAAAAACAGAAACACATCACGTCTTACACAAGAATATATTTATAAATGTCTTATGATTTTATTTAAAATATAATTTAAATATTTACTTATATTCTTTCAATAGTTTTTATTTTCAAATAATATGTTCATTGATTTAGATATCATTCTTTGCGCCAAAGTTTGAGAATATGTTAATTAAAAAGTTTGCATTTGTAACTGTATTTTGCATATTGTTTTGTCGGCAATTAAGGCATTAAAATGGAAACATTTATCTCATTTAAATACTTTTGTCAGCGAATGGTACAAAGTATGTGCCATCAAAAACACAAATATAGCCATAATTAAAATTTTAGTAAATTAATTTCAATAATCAAATGTGTAAAGCATTTGATGCAAAACAAAAGTGAAATTAAAAATTTTAAACTTAATTAATGCCATATATTTTTGACAATGTGCTGAGTTTAGGTTTATTATTCAAATAAATAATTCACATAATTTTTCCATACAATCCTAGAAATTAGCGGTTTGTTAAAGTGTATGAAAGCTATAATTTATGATTTAATCTCGTGGTTCAATAGCCAAATGAACAAAAATAAACTTTAATTAGAATTTCAAAAACTTATTTGAAAAACTTTTCCCTATTAATTAGAGTTAATAACCGTAAGTAATGGTAAGTTAGTTTTTCTGACTCGAAAACAATCTATAAATTAATAACTCGAGTAATGTTTGAGAAAAATAAATCAAAATTTAATTTAAAATAATCATAAATTAATGAAAAATGCTATACAAAAGAAAAAGTAAAGGAAATAATGTCTGAAAGAAAACAATAAGAATATCCCTGTGTTTAACAAATTATGTATAAAAATAGTTTCAAATACGATATAATAATATATTCCAAGTAATGATGAATTTGTTATAATAATCGCAAGACTTGGAGCTATAATTCCAGCGAATTCTTATAATAAGTGAATAAATGCCTGAAATTTAGTTTAAAAGATATTTTCATAAATTCTTGTAATGTTTTGCGAAAATATTTTTCTTTGTTGATAAGAATTTTGACATTTTATTCACTAATAAACATAATAAACATTTCGTTTTATTATATCATTCTTAGCAATATTACTATTAATAAATCACATTCTGTTTGCCATATTTTATAAGTACAGCAACATTATTTATTATACCTATTCTGTGATACAAATATCAATATTTATTATTACAATATTATTCGTCAGAAAATTCTTGTTAAATATTATCATAATTGCTAACAATGTAAGAATAATATAACATTTATATAATCCATTAGCATTTGCAATCTGTTTGCAACCGATATGTGTTTAAATATTAAAATTGTATATAAAAATTTTAAATTAAACATCCAAAAAATATAAAAATAGCACAAAATATAAACTTACTTTGAAATCATTATTAGTGCCGAAATAGATGGGAATGAATGCCAACCACACAATACAAGTGGAATACATTGTAAACCCTATATATTTGGCTTCATTGAAGTTTTCGGGTATTTTTCTGGTCTTAAACGCATAAGTGGTGCACAAAATGATGAGCAGCTTATTGTAGACGAGCGATACGCCCATCGAGGCGCTGGATATCCCGCACTGGAGCACCGAAAACATACGAAAGCCCTGGTTATAGATGACTTCCTTGACAGAGGGCGGGTCGCGGATTATCCACGCGATTATGAACACCAACTGCACGGACACTAAACATATGCAGATGACTATCTGCGACCGGGGACTGGTATACGACGGCCTTTTCATGCCGTTTTTGATGCCCCGATTGAATATACGGGAGATCCGGTTGGTTTTGGTCAGTATCGCCGAATAGCATATACAGAGTCCCAAACTCAGCCCGATTC